TGGCCGCGGCTTTCCGCGGGCGCGGGGCTGTGCAGCGCGACGCGGCTGTCCTGGGAATGGGGACCGTCCAGTTGGCCGATGGCGCCCGTGGAGTTCAGGGGAAGCAGTGGAGAGTGAGGTGCAGGTGCTGGGGGCCAGGGAAGAGTCTTGCCCAACCAGGTGGGCACCTCACTCTATGGTCAGGACTTGGACACGCTTTCCTAGATGAGCAAAAGGTGGTAACGTCCCAGCAGCTCAGGTTTTGTCCAGCCTGTGCTGCTTGTCAGCGAGAGCTGTGGCCGCCTGAATGCCACCACGCTCGAGGGGCGGTCTGTGCACAGGCGAGTGTGTCCTCTGCACGAGCAGAAAATCCCGGTGGGAGCAAACCTGGAGCAAACGTGTGTGAATTTGGCATTTTTGACCCTATCAGGGTTCCCCGTCAGGTGTTTCTTCAGCCTACCTACAACATGACAGCGCAGGGGTCGAGTGACACCCGAGTTCCTGTCCAATAAAGAGCTGTAGTGTCACCCAGGTACCTGTCGTGTGTGGCTAGTGCTGCAGAGCAGCATGGTTGAGCTTTGATACTTTATGCTTTATTGTTCCTATATCCAAAACATGGAGAAGGAAATTAATTGCCACGTAAGATTCTGCTGTTTTGCATTGCAAAAACTAGTTGCTACCGGGGCCTGTTCCTAGCCCTGGCTGGAGGACTTTCCTCAGAAGAACAAGGCATGCCGTAGGGTCAGCACAGTTATTTTGTTTTATGCAAGTTCGTTCTTTTCATCTTTTTCCTGATCCCATGCTCTCATTGACGGCCAGGACATAGAGCTGGGGAGGTCAGTAATATTCCCAGTCGCCACCATCGGCAGCTGCGTGCTTTAACCCTCAGCGTTAGTTTTTATGCGGAGCAGCTCTGCAACAAAGCTCTTTTAAATAAACAACTTCCTCCTGTGCGCAGCTTATGCCCACAGAGGAACTTCTTATAACTTCCTCCCAGGCAACTACTACTGGTCATAGTCTGTAACAGGATATTAGGAACAGCAGAACTGCTGTATCTAATTAGGTGAATGGTTATTTTAACGCAATATGCAGCTTCTGACTGGCGTTCTTCCAGATGCTCCAGAGAAAGAGCAAGAAGCAAGAATGGAAGAGCTTTCTGCCAGGCAAAAATTTTCCCTTTCCCTCTCCTTCCGTCACTTCTACTTTGAGTTGGTGCTCTGCTAGTATGAGTAAGTGTGGCAGCTCTGCTGCCATAGAAGTAGAGAAATCTTTCCTTTTTCATGAACAGGCCTTTCAAATTGAAAAGCACAATAATGGCAAATATATGTTTAATTTTACTATGAAAAAAATTCCAAAAAAATGGATTTTTCTTGTTCAAAAGTTAACCTTTATGCGTGTTGCTTTATCTTAGATTCTAGAGAGAGAGAGCCTGAAGAGACTTCAGAACATATTGTTTTTGTTTCCCATGAGCACTGAGGTGACCCTAATTGTTGTAATATCTGGGTACACTATACAGAGGTCCTATGAAACAAGCAAAACTGTTTTCCGCATGTGATTTTTCCACCTCTTTCCTCCTACGTAGATATGTAAACAGATACAGGGTGTATATATAGAAATCAAAATGACTAGGATGGAAATGCCACTATCTCTGGGATGGAATGGGTTGTCCATCCGTACGTGGTAATTACGCAGCTTAGGTAAAAGCGTCCTGCCATTATAAGATTGGAAGCTAGCCAAGACATCCCTACTCTTGACAGCCCTCCCGGAAGAATATTTTTAATTGCATTATATTTGAAAAATGAGTATTAGCCTACTCTGACACATTTGGCATTTTTTGCTGTTTTGTGGCAAAAGCAGTTAGGTAAGTAAATCTCTTGTACAGCAGTGAAAATATAATTTTGCAGGAAACTACAGAGAGAAATAACTTCATTCCTCTGCACAAGTCTCTGGAGTAACGTATGGTTGGCAGTAACAAACCTGATTCACTGCTCTGTTACCTTAGCTCAGTGCTCAAGTGATTTTGCTGAAATCAATGGGGCAATTACTTCAGTTTTATAGGAGATGTAAATATAGGGATGAATTTGGTCCCATATCTCAGGCCATTATTTTGGGATCTTGGGTGAAGTTATGAACTTGATAAACAGTCTAATTTCACTGGTATCTTTTTTTATTTAATATCTTATCACAGGCCTAAAGATGCAGTTAAAGCATTAAAGAAAAAGCTTTCCAAAAACTGTAACCATAAGGAGATCAGACTTACCCTCTCTGTAAGTATATCTATATTTGTATCATTTAGACACTAAAAAGTATTTGAAAGGTTAGGATGTCATGCAAGTTATCACTGGCACAGCTGTCTGTAATGTCCTCTGTGCATATAACACTAGCACAGTTGCAGGTGAGTGCACTCATATATGCATATATGAGTGCATATATGGCTCCATACAGCTACTGGATGATTCTAGTTCTTCCTGAGCTATTTTTTTAAGCTGGCACTATACTAATAATATGGTTCTTACTGACTCTGAGTGTCTGTGCATGAGCGCCCCGCCTATTTGTGAAAGATACAGGGGCTGGAGTATTACATAAAAGCTGTGTTTAACCGTTCTATTACTCACATTGTTGTACTGATCTTAGTTAAAGCGTGTTATGCAGCATTGCGGAATGTGTGATATTTGTTTTCTAAAACCAAATGTTATTGCATATAGGTGAGAAACTTCAATATGGTAACAATGGTGGGGTGAGCAAGGTACAGGATAAGTCCCATAAGATTCAGATATTATGATTAAAGTTGGAGTGACTGGGAATATCCCATTTGAAGGGAATATCCTAATTTGAAAATATCTAGTCTTCAGAATTTGGCAGTCTCTGAACTTTGGCAAAGTTTGGGCCACAGTTGTGATTTTGGTCATTGTAGGCTTCATAGCAGCAAGAAAACATAGTTCTTTATTGTCTACTATGTAGATAGTGTAGGAAGTATCAAGAGGTTCCTAATACTATCAGAAATCTACTGATTCACTACTTAGGTTTCCTGAGTTATTCTCAAGTTATTCTCATGTAATTAAATTATTCTCAAGAAACTGGAGTAATTATAGGGAGACTTTTATATTTTAGACTCTTGTGGATTTCTGTGATTCATTATTTGTCTAGAAATAGCTTCACCATTTTCTTTTTGGGAAGATGTAGAGGTCTGTCTGCATTACACTCTAGATACCATTATTCATAGTTTTGGTATTTGTTGTGCAAAATCATTATCTGTATCAACACATACTGAGAAATGTTTACGGAAGATAGACAATTGATAGTGTCAAATTGTAGGACACTTAGTAATTGCCCAAGTGTCACCTGACAAGTCAGAGATGGAGATAAATATGTTAAATATACCAACATAGACCTTTAGCTCAT